AATTTTAAATCTCCTGACCTCTCAAATATGATTTACTTAATACATACCGTACGTAAAATTAATCAACTGAAATATTTGCAAAACAAAAATAAAAAACAAAAAACATGTCGACACACGCTCTCTTGTATTAATACCCTGACTTGGTAAAATATTTATGCACATAACTTTAAACCTCTAAGTAGTTCCACTGACTTAACAGGGATTACTCATGTGCTTAAAGTTAGACAGTTGCTTAAATACCTTGTGAAATATGAATCTGAATTCAGATCTGATAAATTAAAAGTAGCTGAAACCAAACTAGCATTTCATTACAGCTTTAAGACCATGTTGTTTTCCCTTAGCCAGTGATTTTCCTTGCATACTGGTTCTGGAAGCAACAACAGAATATCTGCTGGAGGTAACCAGTGGTTACAAGGCAGTACTGCTATCGGGAAGCAAAAATTGGTTTTAATATCAGGTGTGAAACCAGAAAAAGACGACATACATGATTAGTAACAAGACTTCTTTTTTTTAAATTCATACAGGTCCAATAGCTCTTGCATGTCTCTTTTCATCAATGACTTCTCTTTCTCCCCACGTTGCTTAGCTTTCACATGGTGATTCACTCTATCCAAGGTCTGTCCTGTAAGGCTATGCTGCAAACAAGATCTGACAGCTCAGAAGCATACGTTAACAGGTAGACTGATAATCACCATCCTGATATCCCTTCATTGCACTGCTGTAAATTTAATATACAGAACTTAAAACCTTGTCCGCAACTGGTGAAATATGGAAGCTGGACACTGAGCGAAAATGGAACTGACATACTTAGAAGTGCATTTGGGTGGGTTATATCTCACTGTACATTTATCTAAATAAGACAGGTAGATGTCATCCTAAAAAGGCTCCAGGAAACAGAAAGACATGCAGACTAGAAGAAGGAAGATAAGAGGTGCAGACCTGGATTTTAAAAGGAACACAGAGGAGCAGCGAAAAAAATCCATGCGTTGTACTTTATGTCAGGCCACATTCTCCAGCACTCCCACTGAAGGGGTCAAAGGTGCTGCGCTTAGCTAGAGAAACTGCTGAGGAAGCTTACAGGGATTTTCTGTGTCCTCCGGTACATGATGCACCTTCAGTATATTCCCAATACGCAGAAAAGAGGGTAAAAGCACAACGAGCTAATGAAGAAAAGGAGGTTTCAAAGACTGAGCCCAGGAGATATTCAAGCAGTGAAACACAGATGAATAGTCCCCGCTATCGTAATGCAGGCTATTTACCTGCTGACACTGAGGTTAGCGTGGTGGATAAAAAGAGCTTTAAACTAAGGGCAAAGGTTTAATCTTGCTATCCTTTTTAATACGTAGAAGGAAAAAATATCAACCAAAGGAGGATGCAGCAACTAAAAACATAATGAGAAAGAGAATACTAACATGATGAGAGAATCAGTCAGATTATATAATTTAAGGAAAAGATCCACTATAGATATGGAATCAAATGAGATTGATGTGAAACAGGTCAAACGGTTGCAAACTAATGCAAGAGGAAGAAGTGAATCCAAATTCCTTTCATTTGCTATCGGAATTTGCTGTCTTCAGATATGCAAAATCATTTTCAGAAGTGCTTATATAACTTAAACGAATCTGTCTCAGATGCTGAAGTTTTCAAAAATGAGATACAGGATCCTAAATCAATCAGGCACTATTTTACTGATTGTACTTAACAAAGATATTCAGATAAAATTATAGCTTCTTGGTTGTCTGGCATGTAAAGGAACATTCATTCCCAGCAGTCCTTGCATTTCCCTAAGCCAAGCCTTTTTAATTAGGCACGTGCAAATTGGGTGCTTGAACACATCTGTGTACTCTTTACACACATCTGGAACATGTATGACTACTATTCTTCTAATTGACTTAACACAGGCAGCAAATAGCAGGAGAGCTTACACTTTCGCAACCATATAACATAAACATATAAACACCTTTATATACCACTTTCATGCCATAAATATAAAACTGAATGAAAGGGTTTTTCTTCCAAGATGCTTGAAACACAGGTCTCATATCCAGTAGAAACACAGGCCTCACATCTCCAGTAGAAACAGTCACTTAGGATTTATATGAATACAACTGCTGTTTCATTTTCATGCTAAAATCACAATTTTTCATCTCCTCTGGACACCCACAAATCTCTGCCCAATCACTATAAGATAATACAGTAAAAGTCCACAGAAGAAAATCAAGCTTTTGCAAAGAAACTCATCTTCATACTCCCAAGTACTAAAAACATCTCAAAATCAAGATCAAAAACACATGCAAGGGTTACATCTTCCAAATATCTTTAATTGATTTAGTGAATTCTGTTACTCACATATAATAAAAAGAATCTCTAACCCACCACAACTAAAGAATCTTTTAAGTATATTCTGTGAGAAATGATGCAAAGATAACAGATAGAGTATTCCAAATACATACGTGCATGCCAAATGTATCAGGCTAATATACTAAATTATGTAGTATTACTACAGCAAAAATACTATTATTTTTTTCAGCCCAGTAAGCTTAACACGGGAAATGAATACCAAACTGTATTCTTCCCTTCTTTGTTTTCATTCCTTAGCAGTGGAGAAGCAATCAGAAAGATTTGGAACAACCGAAAACTTAACAGATGCAAGCTCAGGATTCCCAGTGTGATGCCATAAACTACCCGCCAAGTATAAGATAGCAACAGTAAAATCATCATTAGTTCTTCAGTATGTTTGCCTTGATTAGGTCACTGTTTTTTGTGGCACTCAGCAGATGGATAGGTGTATTGCATTGCTTAAGCAGTTTGACCATGAAAGTCTTTGTTTACAAAGTGCCCATTCCAAAACAATATTGCATTTCATAATATGCTGTGATTCGATTTTTTTCTCAAAAAGAAAATGTTACATATAAAAACAAAAATCCCTTTAAATTAAAGTTTCTATGTAAGAAGCAGTATCAAACTATCAATTGGCTTAAAGGAATAATTTCGAGTATTCTGATGTTTGTCTCTTGCTCCCAAGATGCTGTTAATGACCACCTTGAAGAGCTCAGTGTTTTGCAATGCCCCTTAGAAAGGATTGAAGTCCAGTCTGTACCAGCTACGAGTTTCCTATGTAAAGACACAAACGGTTATGAGACAGTTTAATTGCTCTCAGGTGAAGAACCTTGGGCAACAAATCATTGTAAAAAGTAATTTAGTATCTTCTATTGCTCAGTGGTTGCAAACTACTTTTACTTGTTTTAATAAACTATATGTATAGCATTTTAGTCTCTCTTTAGAATTGTATTTTCAGTTGTTTAAAATAAAGCTTTATGAGCTTATTAATTAGGCAATTAATTAATTAGGTTTAATTATTAAATAATTTAAACGTGACCTGGTCTGATGAGCGTGAAGGAGCTTGGGAAAGCTGTCCTACAACAACTGGAAAGCTGTTTTTCATATTGCTACTGGACTTGAACAGCAAAACCCTGGATTTGCCAGAATAACAATTAGTTAGAGCCAGACTTTTGAACTAGATTTTCAAGTGCAATGCTGCTGAGAGAACTGTCAAGTGGGCTAACAGGTTTACCTCTGCGCACCCACTTCCCAGGCAAAACACGATTTTGCTGTCACTAGGAATAGCTTCCTCCTTAACCCTATTCAACAAAGGCGAGATAAGGAAAATGCATCTGCTGAGAACAGCAAAGCAAAAATCCAAAAATGACAGTGAGAAAAGGAAGAAGGAAAAAAAAAGAAAAAGAAATTAAAGAAAGAAAAAAAAATCAAATCTCAAAACGCAGGCAGGTGCGAAAATGACGATGGATATTGTGCCAGGTTAAGAGGCATGGCAACTTCCCCAGAATAATGTCCGTTTTTTAAATTACGGCAACTTAGTAAAACAAATTGTTGAGAAACTGGAACATTCCTAAAGATTAATCAAATACAAACACTACAGAGGCAGGTGACATGCAATACTTCCCACTTTCCATTTGGCTTTGAATAGGCTGATGTCTGAGACTTATCTACTTGTTTCAGAAACAATTCTACATCGAAATCACACAACCTGGAACCTCCACTTCTATAAATTCATACATACACTATGGAAAAGGAATCATTATTTTCCCAAAGAAATCTTAGGATACTGAACAGGTGAAGTCTGCTGATGAAAGCGTTTAAAACCGAAGGAATTACTCTAATCACAGGTTTCAAAGAGATCCCAATCTTCTCCGAAACTCAGAGGAAAAAAAGATATGCACATACTTTAAAAATCTGAATCTCTCCCAAACACCTGCAGTGCTATTCCTGCCTGTCCAGAGTGACTTATGCCACAAAAAACACTTGCAAAAATTTAAAGTTTCTAAAAGATTTTTCTTTAAATAGGAAACATATCAAAAGAAAAGAAACACAAAACTAATCTTCTAGACAAAAAACAGGAAGAAAACTGTCACGTTCTCTGGTTTACATTTATAACAGAACTCTATCTAGAGATTAGCATAGTTTCAAATCTATTGTAGTTCAGGATATGATGTCATAATTTAAGGGACGCAGATAATTTAGTCCACAATATCTATTCATATGAACAAAAGAAAGCAAAAGGGGAATACAAAAAACTTTCATACCCCACACTCCTGGATTATTCCTATTTTAAATGGATTCATCATACATGACAGCGCACATAAGAAGGTTTTTCTGCTTCTTTATCTTTTTTCTTCTGTCCTGTAACTTTTAACTTTTGTGAAAAATACGACAGATTTCTACTCCATTAGATACACAGACTGACTTATTTTCCCTCTGAGTCATTTCTGAATTTTATTTGAAGCTCATTTTTAAAATGCTGGAAGGACACTTAAACATACTTCCTTCACATTATATTATAGCATTTTGCATTAATGATTTAAAAAAAACCTGGAAATTTGCTGAAGAAAAGCTGAAGAGACTATTCAGGTTTGCCAAAAACAAAATAAAAATAAACAAAGTTGTTAAAATATTCAAAGCCAATTAATTAGTCCCCTTACCTTGTTCTTTTATCTGACGAATTTGCTTCACAGTTTCTTTCAAGATTGCACATTTGTCAGGTTTAAAGTTAAAGTTGTCAATGTCATTAAAATTTGCAAAAATCAGCTCTGCAAGTTCTTCTATGTATTTATTCTCTTGCTCACGATTGCGTTTCTCAGTGCTTCTTTTAGGGCTGAAAGAGGAGTTTAAAATGTATGTGATGTCAGTTTGTTTGCCTTCTGGACAGCTCGAAGATGGTTTTAAGTGGCTTGAGAGTAACTTGACAAAAGTACAATGAACTGCTCTCCCTCACTACAAAAACATAACTTACAAGTTTCTCAAGCAGAGAGATGTTTTTTGGAACAAATAAGGCAGCAGTAAAAAAGACGTGGCTTGTTTTTTCCCAGCAGTCATGTTTTGCTTTAAAAAAGTGTTGGGATATGGAGTTCAAAAGAACAACAACTACAACACAGAATTAATGAACCAGTGTAGTTTAATACTGACTCCCCCTAACTAGAACATCAAGTTAGTCATTTTCTAAGGATTATGAAAAATATGTGCATATTTAACATTTTTTCTATGTCTCAATTTAAAAAACTGTATAAATCAAACATCTTTGAAGTAATTGCACGAGTTTTTACATAAATGTGGGGTTCCTGTTGTGAAATTATGGGGTACTGTCCAAAAATACTATCTCCTACACTGTTTTTACAGCTTTCTGGGGATACCCAATTTCTTAATCCGCAAAACACCCCTCATTTAACAAGTGTATCCCCTCACTAGACAAAATGAACAGCAATGGCAGTCTGGAACCGAGAAGAAATCACTGAAAGAGCTGCAGAGTTTGACTCCTGCGTATTTTTGAGCTGGCAACATGCAGTTATGGTCATGTTTGCTGAAGGAAAGGGTTGGTTTGCTTGCCTTTAAAAAAAATAATAGACTTTCAGAAGAAGCTTTTAAAAGAGAAAAGAAAGCAGGAAACCACAGGGAATTTTATTAATGAGCTACATTAGTAAAGTAAGTGTTAAAGGGCCACAGTCTAGTTTTGCTACACATAGTAGAAGGAAAGAGAAAGTCATCTCTCCTCAATTATTTGAAGAATAAGAATTATTAGCAGCCATTTGTTCGTTTCAAATGCCTTCAGACATAAGTGGTCTAACCTGGGTCCAAGCTGATCAGGATCCTTGCGCTTTCTCGACTCTGCCCTGGATGGGTCAGAGGAATTTTCTCCCATCCCACTCATCTTGAACACATATCAGCAACTGAAAAGAAGACAGTACAGGGAAAGCGTTATTGTGGAAAGGCCATGAGTTCTTCTGTTTGTACTTCTGAGTCTCTTGCTCCATGTTCAGCTCAGCTTTTACTTTGCAAACCTATCATTTGCAATAGAGTTTGTTTGAAAGGTACCAAGAAAAATACTGTATTTATTACCCTACTAAATTGTATACAAAACTCCTTCAGAACAAAATTTGCAGTGGGCAAATAAAGCAGCAGCATCTCTTTCATTGTTACCAGTTATGTAAGAACAGATAAGTACATTTTGTGCCTGGGCTGCTGAATTTTCATGACAATTTTGCAAGGTTGAATGAGGAGAGACAAAGGAAAATCCATAAGGCCACACAACAAGAAAAACACAACAGAATTGAAATATATGGAATGAAACATATATCCCAGCTACATGAAAAGGTAGCACATATCGCTTTAGTTAAAAATCAAAGCATAATGCTTGCACAAGTACATGTACAATATAGTAGAAACAACATCTGTCAGCACTAGGCATCACTGAGGAACTGATAAATATTTTGTACGTTTAATCTACCTCATAAGGAAAATAACATGTCGAGCTATCATGTGTTAAAGCAACACAAGCTTGTTACAACTTCTGCCATAAACAGCACACGCAAATCCTGACCCGCTGCTGGCCTTCTCTTGTCCTATTCGCACCTTGCAAACGCATTAAACTCCCCTATCCCAGAATATAGGGTATTCAATAAATAACAGTATTCTGCAGATAGAAAACACTGGTAAAATGAGCATAGGGAGATAACGGAAAGGATCAAGAAGATCATGTAATACAAGGTACTCCCAGCTCACCATCTGCCTCGGTGCTGCCAGCTTCCCCAGGGCAAGGAGACGGCCCTAGACGGTTCGGAGAGCCCCGTATTGTTTGGGGTTAACAGGAAAACAAACATGCGGACCACACTGAAGGAGGCTAGCAGCTCCAGGAGGTGACTCACTCCGAGCTACGGCGAGTGCCCGAGGCCCTCACGCCAGGTCACTTTACACAGGCCTCAAACGGCAATCTTTAGCCAGCAACCAAGACAAGGGAGCCAGCTCCTCCGCCGCGAGCCGCCCATTTCTGCCCTGCAGCCGGCCCGAGCGCAATCTAACATTTTTCCTCCAAATTAAACCAAAACAAACAGGAATAAAAAACCCCTTCTTTCTCTGAGCTGAAAAGGAACTTTATTTTTTAAACTGCTTGAGCAAAAAGTGGAGTCATTCTCCTTTTTCTAGATACTCATCGAGCTTCACAAAAAAGTCCAGGTCATCCCTGAAACGTATAGCTCCCATCTGTTTTTTTTTTTTTAAATCCAGCAGCTGATAAGGGATATCAAGTTCTCTCAAGTTTCATGAAAACTGACAGCTACTGTTATTGCCCACTGGGGGCGGGGGAGGTAACTCAGCATCTTTATAACCCTGCGAGGCAGCACATATCGCTCTACCATCCAATTCGAACGAGGAAGGCAAACTCCTGCCGGAGTTTCACTCCCCGTTTTGAAAGCCCTTCTGTTAGTTACTGCTCTTACACAGGGCAGGTGGCCGGAGTAGGAAGAATTTACAATGCTGCAGCATACCAGGTTTCTAGATCTCTAAGCTCTTGCATCTAAGATGCAACCATGGTATGCTTTTGACAAACAGCGGGCGAAAAATGGTCCTATGGGGAATTCCGATCCGTTTCTGAATGACCTGTCAAACTGGCGTCCCAAGGAACAGAGTGATGAGAAAGATCGGGGTTTTCTTTACTGTCCCCTTTGGGGATTCAACATGAATGGTTCTGGAGCCTATTTGAAAAATATCCAGGCTATCTTTTTCTGTATTGTACTGTATGTGCGTATGTGTATGTATATACACACACAGACAGGCAGAGGCACACAGACACACACACACATGTACATATATACTGCCAAAGTTTTGAGAACCATCCCCTTCCAGAAGAGCAAGAACTTCTTGGCTCTGCAGCCTGTTCAGCTCTAAGGGAAGACTGACCATCACAAATTCAGTCACTCCCATGTTTCCTGGGGAATTCCCCGTGACTACAGTCAGGGCATTCACTGCCTCACGCCAACAGTGACCTTGCTGCAGAGCATGAAACACCTCCTGCAGCCCCCAGTGAGGCCTGTGACACTCACTGTGCCTTAACAACTACATATCTCCATTCACCTCTTGCCCCGGTAAGCATTCACAAAGTCCTTATTTTACTTGCATGTAAAAGCAGAAACACACCCTTATCTGATTGATTGAAAGCTAATTATTTACTTCAATACACGCAATTTCATGAGAATTAAGCAGCAAAGATCGAAGGAAGAAGAAATATATTATTACTAAAACTGTGAGGACAGAGAAGTCGCGAGGAGACAGCCATTCCACTTATCTGTCAATGGAGAGATGGAACTGCCCTCGAGGCTGCTTCAATGACTAAAGTGTTTCAGTAGTCAGGGTGAGAAAAATAATAATCATGAGAAAGCAGTACACTCCAGAGCTCATATGATCTCTGAATGAGACTCAGACGCTGCCCTCAAGTTCAGAAGAAAAATTAAGCTGGGGAATCCCTTCTTTTCTCACACTTCCCAAATGACACCTGAGAAATGTAAATCAGTTCAGCGTTCTTCCAGAGAAAAGCAAGCACAGCAATTCAGGAATGGCTGTCAAACATTCAACAGTTTTCCCCCCAAAATAGTAAGCGTTAAGGTCAGAGGTAAGCATTAAGAGGGAGCTTTTTCTGTTCCCCCCGTCTCCATCCCCAAAAGAGCAAGTAGCAACAGTTATTCCAGAGAGTTATCCCATCTAGTCTTTCCAGCTTACTTTAAAGAGAATTTGTTTTTGCAGGACTCATGTTTTATCTGTAGCTCACAAATACATAGCTTGCTTCTTCCTCCATTCACGCCGATGCTATTCAATAGGAAATCCACTGTCTGTGATATCAGCCTTCAGAGGACACATTAAAACTAACCTCCCACCAGTAACAACTAAACTTCATCTTTCTGTATTTAAGGGAATGAAAGTGATACTAAAACTAGGACCTCCTCCCCATGTTAAAGTTAGTAATTGGTCCTAAACAAATAGTTTTTATTTTATTTGCACTTACAAACCATTAAACCTCTTTCTCAGCAGCAGCATTAGTTTGTTCTTAGAATGAGTTACTTGTTTTTTTACTCATCGTAAAGTTTCTCTGGAAATCTACCACCTACTACAACATTTATTTTCTCCTCTCCCCATGCCTACAGTGAAAGAAATCACATTCAATGGTTTAAAGATCTGTATGTTAGGCTCTACAGCTGCTGTGTTTTAGGTGCCTGTCCCCCAGAGCAGAATTCAAAATCCAGAGTTAGGTACCTAGGGAAGTGGAGAGCTAGGTGCTTCTAAGGCAATCTAAAAAAAATCTCACAAGCCAAACTGCAAGTTGCTTAGTACTCTCCAGTTAGAGTACTAAAAGTAAAAGGATATGCCCAAGAAACCTATCTACTGAGGGTGATCAGGGTCTGAGCGGGATGTATAAAGTTCTGCTGTTCCCTTGGGATTCAGAAACCAAAACTCTCTCCTGAGTTACGAGAAATGAGCGGGAATCATCACCTTTTAAAAGTTGTGGCCTTGCTCTTGTGTAATACCGTATTAATGACTAGAGCAGTCAGAAATTGGGAGATGGAAATTCAGTTCTGTCTTTGCAAAGGCGTTTCAAGTCTGTATTTTTTCATCACACAGAACAGGCTCCCAACCCACAGGTTACCTTCTTGCTGAAACTAGACATTTATGAAGCAAAGAGGGCAAGATTAACTAACTCTTACTGTGTGGGAAGAATCTGAAAATGTAGCCAGACTAGCTTACAGGTAAGTAATTTTAATACTGTCTTGAGAAGCAAGTTTAATACTGTCTTGAGAAGCAAGGTTAATACTGTCTTGAGAAGCAAGGTTAATACTGTCTTGAGAAGCAAGGGATTGAGGTTTGAATCCCTTAGGCTAAGGAGGGTAGCAAAGCCGTATCTCCCATTTCTGAGCAAAACTCTAAGAAGTCAAGCAGAGCTCAAGAGATAAGCATCATCTCAGTTTCTTCACGTGTTTTAAAAAGAAAGCAACTATTTCAGCTTTTTTTTCCAGTTCACTTGGCGCATTAAGCATGTTCATGGTCTACGCACGTTACTAGATAAAGATCTTCAGAGGGGTGTAAGAGGGGCAGCATAAGAAAGGACCTAAAGCCACATTTCTCAGAAGAGAGCACTTCTGGGCACATGCAGAACCAGAACAGCAGGCATCTAGGAGACTTGCAAGTAAAAAAGGGAAGAACTTCATGAACTTAGACATTAAGAGTCTAAACATACAGACTTCTATAGGTCAGGAGCAGCAAAGCCACCTACATCGTTTTTGAGGTTCTACCATAACACTCCCTACATACATCAAATTATCCATCTCAAACTTTCTTGGTTAATCATTATTACTAATAGTTTTATAGTATGTAAAAATTCATAATAGAAGTTTAGAGGTTAGGTTATTCAAAATATTATTAGGCTCTGATACCACACTGATAGCTTCCGAGTTCAGAAAATAAAACTCAAAGTTGCATAGCCTAAACTTTTCCAGGAAATGTGACAATTCAAGACTGACGCCACCGGGAGCAGAATGACTTGTTAGATGCTCCAAGTTTTTATTCCAATAAAATACCACCCCCTCTAGGGAACTGCCTCAGATTAGAAAGTAGCATTCATCCTGCTCCTCTGATCTTTTTATATATCTCTGTAGAATTTTCTAGAAAGAAGATAAAGAAACTGTACAGCTCCGTTCATCTAGTATTTCAGAAGCAATGAAAATGTAATACCTGCTCCAGCACAGGTCTTCTGAAACAAAAATCTGCACCCAAATCAAGAACAAGTGCATAAGGCTTACTCAGTTTGGCATGGAATAGAAAAAGGACTAACCAAACTGGGAACTAATAAAAGCAAAATTGGCAGTAACTGCTGAATTGGGAAGAGAGAAATATTTTTGTTAACGAA